CCAATCCCCCTCTCTCCATTCTGTCAACCCCATTCCCCTCTCTTAACACTCGGTCAACCCTCTCACCTCTCTGCAATTCCCAGTCCCCCTTCTCATCACTTTGCCATCCCTAACCCCATCATCATTCTGCAAACCCCAGCTCTTCCTCTCACTACTCTGTCAACCCCATTTCTCCCTCTTGACTTTGTGCAGGCCCCAATCCACCTCTCTCTACTCTACTTACTCCAATCCCCCCCTCTCACCACTCTACCATCACCAGTCTAACCTCTTACCACTCAGGCAGCCCCAATCCCCCTCTAACCACTCTTCCAACCTGGATCCCCCTTCTCATCTTTCTGCAGACCCCAGTCCCCCTCTCCCTACTCTACTAACTCCAATCCCCTCTCTCACCACTCTACCAACCTCAGTACTCTCTTTCACCATTTTGCGAGCCCCAATTCTCTCCCTCTCTATTTTATCAGCCCTGGAACCCACTCTTACCACTCTAACAGCCACAATACCCCCCTCTCAGCTCTGTGCTAGCCCCAATGCCCCCTCTACAACTTTGATAGCTACTATCCCCCCCCCATCATCACTGCCCTGTCAGCTTCTGACCTCTCTGCCAGCCCAGTCCCCCCTCTCAACATTCTGCCAGCCCCAATCTCCCCTCTAAGCACTCTGCCACTTTCCCCATATTGCCAGCTCCAGTGCCCCTTTCACCACTCTACCAACCCCAACTCCCCCTCTCAACCGGCTCCAATCCCCCTCTTACCACTCTACAAACCCCAATCTCCTCTTTCCCCACTCTGCCAACTCTGATACTCCCCCTCTCATCTTTCTGCAGACCCCAATCCCTCCTCCCTACTTTACTAACCCCAATCCCCCTCTCTCACCACTCCACCATCCCCATCTCTTACCACCCAGCCAACCCCAATTCCCCCAGTCACCACTCTGTCAGTCCCAGTCCCCCCACTTACATCTTTGCCAACCCCAATCCTCCCTCTCACCAATCTGCCAAGTCTAATTCCCCTCTTATTATTTTGCAGACCCCAATCCCCCTCTCACCACACTACCAACCCCAGTCCCCCCCTCTCACTACTCAGCCATCCTCCCCCATCTCCACTCTCATCACTTTTATTAGCCCAGTCCCCCATTCACCACTTTAGTAACTCCTGTCAGAAATTTAGCTCTGAGAAAAAAAATCAGTATATAATTTATGAAAACAGGTGGGGCCCTGGATTTAAGGAGATTCCCTACTAATTTTCATAAATCAACTGATAATCCAAGTGCTTTACTCACACTAATTTGAAGACAAAATAAAAAGCGATAGTGTGCAAAAATATATATTTATTAATAATAACAATTAGTGTAAAATGGTAATGAACTAAACAATGGCTAAATGGTTAGCACTTCCACCTGGCAGTTCTCGGGTCGTTGGTTTGAATCCCAACCACAGCACCACCTGTCTGGAGTTTGCATGTTCTCCCTGTGCCTGCGTGGGTTTTCCTCCGGGTACTCTGGTTTCCTCCCACACTCCAAAGACATGCTAGTAGGTGAATTGGAACCTGTCTAAATTGTCCCTAGTATGTACAGATGTGAGTTAGGGACCTTAGATTGTACGCCCTTGAGGGTAAGGGACTGATGAGAATGTACAATATATATGTAAAGTGCTACATAATTTGACGGCGCTATATAAGTACCTGAGATAAATAAATAACTATAATAGGTGATGATAAATAATAAACAATTTAAAATAAACATAGTAATTCAGTGTAGCCTAGCATGTGGTTGCCATCATCCCTATTTTCATAGTACAGATAATTATATCTTACCTTTTAATGGGATTTTAAAAGCAAACTTAAATTGCACAAGAGAAGCCACTTTTTTTTTAAAACAAGAGATACATGTCAATAAAAGTTTGTTTTGCTTATCAGCACATACAAATGGGTCATTGCATATTGCCAAATATATTGCACAGCAATTCAGACTACTCATTCACTTTACAGATTATGGTATGTTCCAGTATATATCCAGAGGTATCCCCCATAACTGATTTCCATCTTGCAACCTCAAAATTTGACGGCATATATACATTCAGACTGGGAGCCAACACGTTTCGAATGCATTAACATAGATTCTTCTTCAGGGATATGACACCACTCTATAATAATAATTATTAGTCCATTTTAGCAAATGTTGTCATAACTATTTAGTGCTGAACCAAACAGTATGGGGTAAACAACTTACATAACCACCACGAATATTCAAAAAGAAGTGTTTCACTATGTCAGGACATGAATCCCCTCCAAAACTGAGGCCATCATTTTGATGTGCAAGGACCACAGGTGCCACATCACAACCACTGCCACAATAAAGGGTATATATAAATATAATAAAGATCTGTAATAATAAATAATGGGGAACAAAAAATGCAAGAGAACAGCATCAATATTAACCAATGGTATGTGTAAATTGGTAGAAATATATTTTGTGACTACACATCCCCTTATTGGTTACTTGCAGGAGCATAATATAGATGTATATAGATCATAAAATGATCATATAAATATATACACCCTTTTATTGAGTGTTCAAGGGACAAACATTCCTATTAATTTTGTTTTCTCCCATCAATTAATACAAAATAAAAAATGCCAAAACTGTTAGAACCAAGGACAATGAAGTGTAAGGGCTTAGGTGTTGTACAATTCACTCCTAAAGCACAAACAATAAGCATGAATATCAACATTCATTGCCCATGTCTTTTTCAACTCACCAGAAATTGCAGGAAAATGGGATACCGTTACAACAAAAAAATCCCGCTATATTCTAGAAGCCTTGCCTGGTTACTCAAATGATTATTTTATAGGGTCAATAATGGGTGTGATGTTTGTATTTCCTCCCCAAGGTGGAACATGTCCATTAGAGAGGAAGATGGCGCTCATCGTGTGGTGCCCGGTGTTCTTCACAACTGTGCATGCAGTGCACTGCTGCTCTACAAAGCCAAATAACGAGTTCCCCACTGTAAAAAAAGATATGAGAGACCCAGACATGCCAATAAAGGACAGCTCCAGTAGGAAGACAAATAAAAACTCCTGCACAGGAGACATCTATATGAACAAATTGCAAAGACGTGACAAAAAATCAATCCTACAATCCGGACAGCACATCCAATATTTCTTAAAAATAGAGCAAATAGAATTAGAAAGCAATCTTTGCAGTGTAATCAAAAGGGATTACCCGTTATTTGGCTTTATAGAGTAACGGGGGAGGCCTATGTTTTTCCCCCTTGTCCTCATGCACCTTGTGTGCAGGCCTCATTGTTCCATGTCGGCAGCGATCTCCAACATGGCTCCCGCAAGTCATGGTCTCCTGAAGTGCATCATTCGGGACCAGACACGAAGGCACAGTTGTGAAGAACGCCGGGAACCACATGATGGGTGCCATCTTCCGCTCTAGTGGACATGTTCTGCCTTTGGGAGGAAATACACACGTGACACCCATTATTGACCCTATAAAAGGCTATAATTTAAGTAACCAGGCAAGGCTTCTAGAATATAGCTGGATTTTTTGTCGGAACGGTATCCCATTTTCCTGCAATTTCTGGTGAGTTGAGTTGAAAAAGACATGGGCAATGAATGTTGATATTCATGCTTATTTTTTGTACTTTAGGAGTGAATTGTACAACACCTAAGCCCTTACACTTCATTGTCCTTGGTCCTAACAGTTTTGGCATTTTTTATGTTGTATTAATTGATGGGAGAAAACAAAATTAATTGGAATGTTTGTCCCCTTGAAGACTCAATAAAAGGGTGTATATATTTATATGATCATTTTATGATCTATATACATCTATATTATGCCCCTGCAAGTATCCAATAAGGGGATGTGTAGTCATAAAATATATTTCTACCAATTTACACATACCATTGGTTAATATTGATGCTGTTCTCTTGCATTTTTTGTTCCCCATTATTTATTATTACAGATCTTTATTATATTTATATATACCCTTTATTGTGGCAGTGGTTGTGATGTGGCACCTGTGGTCCTTGCACATCAAAATGATGGCCTCAGTTTTGGAGGGGATTCATGTCCTGACATAGTGAAACACTTCTTTTTGAATATTCGTGGTGGTTATGTAAGTTGTTTACCCCATACTGTTTGGTTCAGCACTAAATAGTTATGACAACATTTGCTAAAATGGACTAATAATTATTATTATAGAGTGGTGTCATATCCCTGAAGAAGAATCTATGTTAATGCAGTGAATGAGTAGCCTGAATTGCTGTGCAATATATTTGGCAATATGCAATGACCCATTTGTATGTGCTGATAAGCAAAACAAACGTTTAATGACATGTATCTAATAAAATGTTGATTCTCTTGTTTTAAAATATGTGGTTCATCTTGTGCAATTTAAGATTGCCTTTACAATCCCATTAAATGTAAAACAATTTAGAATAACAGTCCAATGATCTAATCCAAATAACGGTTACAAATTCAAACCAGCAATTATTTTCAAATATTAATGAATTAGAATCAACTGTCTAGAAATGCAGCGTAGGGAACTATCAGTAACTCAGCAACATGCAACAACAGCTATACAAATTGTCCCCGTGATCTCTCTACAACCAGACATTCAAAGCCCAACGAATACCTTGGCATGAATTGGTTTTAAATACCATACACAGGCCAATCCAATCAGCTGAGAATCTGACGTCAAGATCAAATGTTACACTAAGTTGTCTATTTTGTCACATATACCCGGCTAAACCATCGACTAGCTTCGGGGATATTTAAAATAGAATTCTCCCCCCAGAGAACTGATATGACAAATAATTTATACTGCAGTTAAAATTATTTCACATCATCTCCTGTGTTAACCATTAGAGATGAGCGAAGAAATGAAAAATTCGATTCGACTGATTCGGCGAATTCGTGGACAATATTCGATTCGAGTCGAATAATTCGCTGTGAATTTAACTTAAAAAAGGGTGTTTCTAGGCTTCAGAGAGACTTAATATTAGTGCAGAACACTGTACCTTTAATTTAAATGCCCTTGGAGTCTGCTGGGGAAGAGAAATAATACTGTCAGTCAGTATGACATGCAGATGAGTGCCGTCGATCTTAGAATCACCGCACACTTCACTCATTTGGCCAGTCACGGGGCCAAAACCAGTGTTTGGAGCCACAGTGTGGCGGTGGAGGCAGCAGCAATGGGAGGCCATACAGCACCCTATGACAAAATGGAAACCAGCAGGAGTGTGAGGAGACCTGAAAGTGGCACATGGCAGAGTGGGAGCAATGGGAGGCGGTACAGGGACCCAGGTCACACTGTGGGACCAGCATCAGCGTGAACAGGCGGTACGGGGGCCCATGGCCGATTTGACCTCGTTCATCCCATAGTCCTGCCGACTCACGAATAGCGTGGCCTCCTCAAAGGGCCTGAGCAAGCGCAGGCCAATGGCTGACATCTAAGTTACACAGGGAGTACCTTTATCCGCTTTTAACATCAGGAAATCTGTGATGGCCTTTCGCTGTTCGTAAAGGCGGTCTAACATATGTAGGGTTGAATTACACCTTGTTGCAACGTCACAGCATGAGGAGTCGGTACGGGGGCCCATGGCAGATTACGTGCCTGGCAGCAGCAATGGGAGGCCCGTAATCTGCCAGCACCCTATGTCAAAAAATTCAACACACCAGCAGTGTGAGGAGACCTCAAAGTGGCACATGGCAGAGTGGAAGCAATGGGAGGCCGTACAGGGACCCAGGTCACACTGTGGGCCCAGCAGCAGCGTGACCAGGAGGTACGGGGGCCCATGGCCGATATGGGGCCTGGCGGCACCTATGGAAGGCCTGGAATCTGCCAGCAACCTATGTCAAAATGGACAAACCGCAGGAGTGTGAGGAGATTTCAAAGTGGCACATGGCAGAGTGTAGTGTAGCAATGGGAGGCCGTACAGGGACCCAGGTCACACTGTGGGCTCAGCAGCAGCGTGACCAGGAGGTACGGGGGCCCATGGCCGATATGGGGCCTGGCGGACCTATGGAAGGCCTGGAATCTGCCAGCAACCTATGTCAAAATGGACAACCGCAGGAGTGTGAGGAGACCTCAAAGTGGCACATGGCAGAGTGTAAGCAATGGGAGGCCGTACAGGGACCCAGGTCACACTGTGGGCCCAGCAGCAGCGTGACCAGGAGGTACGGGGGCCCATGGCCGATATGGGGCTGGCGGAACCTATGGAAGGCCTGGAATCTGCCAGCAACCTATGTCAAAATGGACAAACGCAGTAGTGTGAGGAGACCTCAAAGTGGCACATGGCAGAGTGTAAGCAATGGGAGGCCGTACAGGGACCCAGGTCACACTGTGGGCCCAGCAGCAGCGTGACCAGGAGGTACGGGGGCCCATGGCCGATATGGGGCCTGGCGGAACCTATGGAAGTCCTGGAATCTGCCAGCAACCTATGTCAAAATGGACAAACGCCCAGTATGTGTAAGGGAGACAAAAAGTGGACATGGCAGAGTGGCAATGGGGGCCGTACAGGGACCCAGGTCACACTGTGGGACCAGCAGCAGTGTGACCAGGAGGTACGGGGGCCCAATGGCCGATATGGGGCATATGCGGAAACGCTGTAGTCCCAACATGGGATCTGGCCACGCTTGACCTATGGCCACATGGAGTCACATTAGTGTAGGAGACCTCAAAGGGCACATGACGAAAAATTGCCACACCGCCGAGTAGGAAACCCAGGTCCGCACTGTCACTGGCTGACTGCACTTGACCAGGAGGTACGGGGGCCCATGGCCGACTATGGGGCCTGGCGGAACCTATGGAAGTCCTGGAATCTGCCAGCAACCTATGTCAAAATGGACAAGCACAGTAGTGTGAGGAGACCTCAAAGTGGCACATGGCAGAGTGTAAGCAATGGGAGGCCGTACAGGGACCCAGGTCACACTGTGGGCTCAGCAGCAGCGTGACCAGGAGGTACGGGGGCCCATGGCCGATATGGGGCCTGGCGGAACCTATGGAAGTCCTGGAATCTGCCAGCAACCTATGTCAAAATGGACAACCGCAGTAGTGTGAGGAGACCTCAAAGTGGCACATGGCAGAGTGTAAGCAATGGGAGGCCGTACAGGGACCCAGGTCACACTGTGGGCCAGCAGCAGCGTGACCAGGAGGTACGGGGGCCCATGGCCGATATGGGGCCTGGCGGAACCTATGGAAGTCCTGGAATCTGCCAGCAACCTATGTCAAAATGGACAAAGCACAGTAGTGTAAGGAGACCTCAAAGTGGCACATGGCAGAGTGTAAGCAATGGGAGGCCGTACAGGGACCCAGGTCACACTGTGGGCTCAGCAGCAGCGTGACCAGGAGGTACGGGGGCCCATGGCCGATATGGGGCCTGGCGGAACCTATGGAAGTCCTGGAATCTGCCAGCAACCTATGTCAAAATGGACAAAGCACAGTAGTGTGAGGAGACCTCAAAGTGGCACATGGCAGAGTGTAAGCAATGGGAGGCCGTACAGGGACCCAGGTCACACTGTGGGCTCAGCAGCAGCGTGACCAGGAGGTACGGGGGCCCATGGCCGATATGGGGCCTGGCGGAACCTATGGAAGTCCTGGAATCTGCCAGCAACCTATGTCAAAATGGAAAAGCACAGTAGTGTGAGGAGACCTCAAAGTGGCACATGGCAGAGTGTAAGCAATGGGAGGCCGTACAGGGACCCAGGTCACACTGTGGGCTCAGCAGCAGCGTGACCAGGAGGTACGGGGGCCCATGGCCGATATGGGGCCTGGCGGAACCTATGGAAGTCCTGGAATCTGCCAGCAACCTATGTCAAAATGGACAACCGCAGTAGTGTGGGAGACCTCAAAGTGGCACATGGCAGAGTGTAAGCAATGGGAGGCCGTACAGGGACCCAGGTCACACTGTGGGCCAGCAGCAGCGTGACCAGGAGGTACGGGGGGGCCCATGGCCGATGGGGGGCCCATGGCCGATATGGGGCCTGGCGGGAAGTGGGAAGTCCTGGAATCTGCAACCTATGTCAAAATGGACAAGCACAGTAGTGTGAGGAGACCTCAAAGTGGCACATGGCAGAGTGTAAGCAATGGGAGGCCGTACAGGGACCCAGGTCACACTGTGGGCTCAGCAGCAGCGTGACCAGGAGGTACGGGGGGGCCCATGGCCGATATGGGGCCTGGCGGAACCTATGGAAGTCCTGGAATCTGCCAGCAACCTATGTCAAAATGGACAAAGCACAGTAGTGTGAGGAGACCTCAAAGTGGCACATGGCAGAGTGTAAGCAATGGGAGGCCGTACAGGGGACCCAGGTCACACTGTGGGCAGCAGCAGCAGCAGCGTGACCAGGAGGTACGGGGGCCCATGGCCGATATGGGGCCTGGCGGAACCTATGGAAGTCCTCTAATCTGCCAGCAACCTATGTCAAAATGGACAAACACAGTAGTGTGAGGAGACCTCAAAGTGGCACATGGCAGAGTGTAAAGCAATGGGAGGCCGTACAGGGACCCAGGTCACACTGTGGGCTCAGCAGCAGCGTGACCAGGAGGTACGGGGGCCCATGGCCGATATGGGGCCTGGCGGAACCTATGGAAGTCCTGGAATCTGCCAGCAACCTATGTCAAAATGGACAAACGCACAGTAGTGTGAGGAGACCTCAAAGTGGCACATGGCAGAGTGTAAGCAATGGGAGGCCGTACAGGGACCCAGGTCACACTGTGGGCTCAGCAGCAGCGTGACCAGGAGGTACGGGGGGCCCATGGCCGATATGGGGCTGGCGGAACCTATGGAAGTCCTGGAATCTCTGCCAGCAACCTATGTCAAAATGGACAAAGCACAGTAGTGTGAGGAGACCTCAAAGTGGCACATGGCAGAGTGTAAGCAATGGGAGGCCGTACAGGGACCCAGGTCACACTGTGGGCTCAGCAGCAGCGTGACCAGGAGGTACGGGGGCCCATGGCCGATATGGGGCCTGGCGGAACCTATGGAAGTCCTGGAATCTGCCAGCAACCTATGTCAAAATGGACAAACGCACAGTAGTGTGAAGAGAGACCTCAAAGTGGCACATGGCAGAGTGTAAGCAATGGGAGGCCGTACAGGGACCCAGGTCACACTGTGGGCTCAGCAGCAGCAGCGTGACCAGGAGGTACGGGGGCCCATGGCCGATATGGGGCCTGGCGGAACCTATGGAAGTCCTGGAATCTGCCAGCAACCTATGTCAAAATGGACAAGCACAGTAGTGTGAGGAGACCTCAAAGTGGCACATGGCAGAGTGTAAGCAATGGGAGGCCGTACAGGGACCCAGGTCACACTGTGGGCTCAGCAGCAGCGTGACCAGGAGGTACGGGGGCCCATGGCCGATATGGGGCCTGGCGGAACCTATGGAAGTCCTGGAATCTGCCAGCAACCTATGTCAAAATGGACAACACGCAGTAGTGTGAGGAGACCTCAAAGTGGCACATGGCAGAGTGTAAGCAATGGGAGGCCGTACAGGGACCCAGGTCACACTGTGGGCTCAGCAGCAGCGTGACCAGGAGGTACGGGGGGGCCCATGGCCGATATGGGGCCTGGCGGAACCTATGGAAGTCCTGGAATCTGCCAGCAACCTATGTCAAAATGGACAAAGCACAGTAGTGTGAGGAGACCTCAAAGTGGCACATGGCAGAGTGTAAGCAATGGGAGGCCGTACAGGGACCCAGGTCACACTGTGGGCTCAGCAGCAGCGTGACCAGGAGGTACGGGGGCCCATGGCCGATATGGGGCCTGGCGGAACCTATATGGAAGTCCTGGAATCTGCCAGCAACCTATGTCAAAATGGACAAACACAGTAGTGTGAGGAGACCTCAAAGTGGCACATGGCAGAGTGTAAGCAATGGGAGGCCGTACAGGGACCCAGGTCACACTGTGGGCTCAGCAGCAGCAGTGTGACCAGGAGGTAGGGGGCCCATGGCCGATATGGGGGCCTGGCGGAACCTATGGAAGTCCTGGAATCTGCCAGCAACCTATGTCAAAATGGACAAGCACAGTAGTGTGAGGAGACCTCAAAGTGGCACATGGCAGAGTGTAAGCAATGGGAGGCCGTACAGGGACCCCAGGTCACACTGTGGGCTCAGCAGCAGCGTGACCAGGAGGTACGGGGGCCCATGGCCGATATGGGGCCTGGCGGAACCTATGGAAGTCCTGGAATCTGCCAGCAACCTATGTCAAAATGGACAAACCGCAGTAGTAGTGTGAGGAGACCTCAAAGTGGCACATGGCAGAGTGTAAGCAATGGGAGGCCGTACAGGGACCCAGGTCACACTGTGGGCTCAGCAGCAGCGTGACCAGGAGGTACGGGGGCCCATGGCCGATATGGGGCCTGGCGGAACCTATGGAAGTCCTGGAATGCCAGCAACCTATGTCAAAATGGACAAAGCACAGTAGTGTGAGGAGAGACCTCAAAGTGGCACATGGCAGAGTGTAAGCAATGGGAGGCCGTACAGGGACCCAGGTCACACTGTGGGCTCAGCAGCAGCGTGACCAGGAGGTACGGGGGCCCATGGCCGATATGGGGCCTGGCGGAACCTATGGAAGTCCTGGAATCTGCCAGCAACCTATGTCAAAATGGACAACCACAGTAGTGTGAAGGAGACCTCAAAGTGGCACATGGCAGAGTGTAAGCAATGGGAGGCCGTACAGGGACCCAGGTCACACTGTGGGACCAGCAGCAGCGTGACCAGGAGGTACGGGGGCCCATGGCCGATATGGGGCCTGGCGGAACCTATGGAAGTCCTGGAATCTGCCAGCAACCTATGTCAAAATGGAAAAGCACAGTAGTGTGAGGAGACCCTCAAAGTGGCACATGGCAGAGTGTAAGCAATGGGAGGCCGTACAGGGACCCAGGTCACACTGTGGGACAGCAGCAGCGTGACCAGGAGGTACGGGGGCCCATGGCCGATGGGGCCTGGCGGAACCTATGGAAGGCCTGGAATCTGCCAGCAACCTATGTCAAAATGGAAAAAAGCACAGTAGTGTAAGGAGACCTCAAAGTGGCACATGGCAGAGTGTAAGCAATGGGAGGCCGTACAGGGACCCAGGTCACACTGTGGGCTCAGCAGCAGCGTGACCAGGAGGGTACGGGGGCCCATGGCCGATCTCACTGGCTGACTGCTACTCTGCCTCCCCTATGTCACACCGGCACACACTACTGGCCGTGGTGGTAGGCTGCAGTGGAGCTGGTGCTCTACTCCGTGGCACGTTTGCCTCCACTGACACTGCTGCGACCCTGCTGCCTCCTGGCAGCAGCAATGGGAGGGGAGGCGTACAGGGACCCATGAGAGACTCTGGACCTTGGCAGCAGCATGAGGAGGCGGTATATAGGGGCCCATGGCAGATTAGGGGCCTGGCAGCAGCTATGGAGGCCCGTAATCTGCCTGCACCCTATGTCAAAAAATTAAACACACCAGCAGTGTGAAGAGACCTGAAAGTGGCACATGGCAGAGTGTGGCGATGGAGACAGCAGCAATGGGAGGCCGTACAGGGACCCATGAGAGACTCTGGACTTGGCAGCAGCATGAGGAGGCGGTATATATAGGGGCCCATGGCAGATTAGGGGCCTGGCAGCAGCTATGTGAGGCCCGTAATCTGCCTGCACCCTATGTCAAAAAATTAAACACACCAGCAGTGTGAAGAGACCTGAAAGTGGCACATGGCAGCAGAGTGTGGCGATGGAGACAGCAGCAATGGGAGGCCGTACAGGGACCCATGAGAGACTCTGGACTTGGCAGCAGCATGAGGAGGCGGTATATAGGGGCCCATGGCAGATTAGGGGCCTGGCAGCAGCTATGTGAGGCCCGTAATCTGCCTGCACCCTATGTCAAAAAATTAAACACACCAGCAGTGTGAAGAGACCTGAAAGTGGCACATGGCAGCAGTGTGGCGATGGAGACAGCAGCAATGGGAGGCCGTACAGGGACCCATGAGAGACTCTGGACTTGGCAGCAGCATGAGGAGGCGGTATATAGGGGGCCCATGGCAGATTAGGGGCCTGGCAGCAGCTATGTGAGGCCCGTAATCTGCCTGCACCCTATGTCAAAAAATTAACACACCACCAGCAGTGTGAAGACCTGAAAGTGGCACATGGCAGCAGAGTGTGGCGATGGAGACAGCAGCAATGGGAGGCCGTACAGGGACCCATGAGAGACTCTGGACTTGGCAGCAGCATGAGGAGGCGGTATATAGGGGCCCATGGCAGATTAGGGGCCTGGCAGCAGCTATGGGAGGCCCGTAATCTGCCTGCACCCTATGTCAAAAAAATTAAACACACCAGCAGTGTGAAGAGACCTGAAAGTGGCACATGGCAGAGTGTGGCGATGGAGACAGCAGCAATGGGAGGCCGTACAGGGACCCATGAGAGACTCTGGACTTGGCAGCAGCATGAGGAGGCGGTATATAGGGGCCCATGGCAGATTAGGGGCCTGGCAGCAGCTATGTGAGGCCCGTAATCTGCCTGCACCCTATGTCAAAAAATTCAACACACAACTAACAGCAGTGTGAAGGAGGCCGTACAGGGACCCATGAGAGACTCTGGACTTGGCAGCAGCATGAGGAGGCGGTATATAGGGGCCCATGGCAGATTAGGGGCCTGGCAGCAGCTATGGGAGGCCCGTAATCTGCCAGCACCCTATGTCAAAAAATTCAACACACCAGCAGTGTGAAGAGACCTGAATGTGGCACATGGCAGAGAGTGTGGCGATGGAGACAGCAGCAATGGGAGGCCCGTAATCTGCCAGCACCCTATGACAAGAAATGGAACCACACCAGCAGTGTGTGAGGAGACCTGAAAGTGGCACATGGCAGGGGCATGATTCATGGCGGATTTAGTCAGTTTGTGTCAGGAACTGGTGGTTTGAAATCCAGACTAATCCACGCCTGATTCATTTTCACAAACGTGAGTCTCTCCACACTTTTGGGTGGACAGTCGTGTCCTCCGCGGAGTTACAATACCTCCTGCCGCACTAAACACGTGCGCTCCGATGCCACGCTACTAGCCGGGCATGACAGCCTTTCAAGGGCAAATTCAGCTAGTTGGGGCCAAAGGTCAAGTTTCGTTGCCCAGTAGTCAAGGGGATTGTCTACCTCGGTTGGCAGGGTGCTGTCCAAGTAGGCCCAAGCCTGTTGTTTGAGCTCCTGCTCCAGGTC